TCAAGATTACTCTACCCAACAAAGCTTACCTTTAGAATCAAAGTACATATAAAAAGCTTTCCAGACAAGAAAAAGCTAGAGTTCATCATCACCAAACCAGTATTACATGAAATGTTAATGTGTCTTTTTTAAAAAGAAGGGAAAAAATAAAAAATATGAACAAGAAAATGGCAATAAATATTTGTCAACAATTGAATATAAAAGACAAAATAAGTGAACAAGCAAAACAGAAATAGACTAATAGATTAGATACAGAGAACATTTTGACAGTTGCCAGATGGGAGAGGATCTGGGGAATGGGTGAAAAAGGTGAAGGTATTAAGAAGTATAAATTGGTAGTTACAAAATAATCATGGGAGTGTAAAGTACAGCATAGGGGATACAGTCAATAGTATTCTAATAATTCTGTATGGCGTCAGATGGGTACAAGATTTATTGGGATGATCACTTACTAAGTTATATAATATTTAACCACCGTTGAATGCCAACTGTAACTGAAAAATAAAAAATGATTTGAAAAAATGCATCCTGGTTAGAGACAGTGAGAAGCAAGCTGATATATTCCAGATTCTGCTCCTTTTTGACAGATAATTAAACTAGGACTAAAGGGGTCAAGTGACTCTCTCTAAGCACAGCAACCCTGTGCTTTCACCAACTTGTATTGGGACAGGTGTTGCCCCAATCCACCAGCAGGTCATTCAAACAAAAGCTTTAAATGTCTCAGTCTGACCTAAAATTCCAAACAGTTTTTAGTCATACAATTAGACAACTTATCATGACAATTTCTCTTGGTCATGACACTCTTATTTCATTTAGAAATGCCAAAACACAGCTAGTTAATGCATTAAATATATAAAGACTTGTTAAAGAGACTCAATTTATTAATGATTCAGTAGAACTTCCTAATGCATCTATTTGGACCTCATTTATAATTCATTTCACAGCTTTGCTGCAGTTCCCACAGGGCAAATATCCATCAAATATTACAGTTTTAAGTCTTCCCCTTATATTTATTTGTAGAAGAATACATTTTTTCCAGACAAAAGCTAAACTTTCTAAAAGCATTCATCCACCAATAGTAATTTAAGGTGCATTTCTTGATAAGGTAATAGTAGTGGGCTTCCAGATATAACAAAGTACACTGTGCAACCAAACAAAGGAATAAGTGATTCACTCTATTCTCAACTGTCAAGCACCACCATGCCTCTCAATCACATGTGCTCATATTAGCATTGCCCAGGAGAATTCCAATCAAACTCTGCTTTGTTTGGAGTGTGGGTTTGTTCCTTCATCTACTGAAGATATGTGACTCCATGAGAGCCTTTCAGTAACACAGAAAACAAAGGCACCCCAAGAGGGCAGCATAGAACATTTGTACTAATTAATAACAGCAGATACCACTGAAATACCTAGGAAGAGTCAGGCACACTTTCAGGTGTTTAACATGCATCACTTCACTGAATTGTGACAAGTTTATGAGGTAGACATTATTAACCCCATCATCACTTTACAGATAAGGAAAGTTTAAATCAGTTAAGTAACCATCAGGTTAATATCGGAGCTGGAACCCGAGTTAATAACAGAGCTGGAATTCAAGACCATATCAGTTTATCCTATGGCACTTTCCAGTATATTATGTTGAATTAGATTTCAATGGATGAGTAATGGGGAAAGGAATTAAAAAGGGGGAAGGTACTTTTTCACCAACACAATTATTTCACATATTCAAATAACAGGATGCCAAAATGCATCCAATGCCATTCATACCTTCATTCGCTCATTCACATGTATATTAAGCATCTATTATGTGCCAGTGATAAAGTCTTTTAAAGATACTAACTTCAAACAAGAAAATTAAGGAATATGGCCAACACAATAAAAAAGGGAGAGGAATGTACTGGGCAAAGAGGAGATCAGAAAAACCTCAGCTGATTTCTCAATAGCCCCATCCACTACCTTCACCCTCCTTAAATAAGAATTCAGAGAAAAAATCTGACACTCATTTTCATTGTCCTTTTTCCTTGGGGAAAACTGATGTATGGACTTTCAAGCCATACTGCTAAATCTTCTCTATAGTCTTTTCTATCCAAAGAATTGCTGTTCCACAGACAATCTTATCTCCTCCTGCTTACGGGGCAGAACAAACATTTACCCAACTGTGGGACCCTAGGGAACGGTGGAGAGTGGAGGCCCAAGGCAGGCTGCCCAGGAATGAGCTGTAAGAGGTCAGAGCTGCTTGTGAGACCTGAGTATCCCACAAGCCTTAAGGCATTCATGTCCATTCAAGACTGACACATTCTGAGAGACTGAATGGTATGTGAAAGCAATTCATTTCACATTTTATGAAGCACTGTTTCACAGGGTAGAGATGTCATTTGCATAAATACATCTTAATTATGCCCTGAAATCCTAGAGGGATTTCCATTTTGCCCAAACTGTTACAGAACAGCGCCAAGGGAGGGTACAATACACTATTACCAAAAGGAACCCCCACTAGGTTTGCTTGTCTGCCGCCAGAAGAAAGATGTCTCTCAATGCCAGAGAGCTGCGAAAAGGAAAGGAAATGTTTATCTAAAGCTGTACAGACTTAAAGTAGTGACCTAATGTCTTCATTAAAATATCAAAGTCCTTTAGGGTACCCACAGATACACACAGTGCTTCCTTCTCCTCCTTCCCTAATTTGGAGTACCATATCTCAAGAAAAGTAGATTCAGGCTCCCGGCACCATCGGCTGAGTCGCCGTCAGGATCTCCAGCTTTGGACCCCAATTAATCCAAAGTCATGTGGCACCTTCTCATGGCCTGCTGGCAAGAAACCTTTCAGCCCTCTTCCAGGCAAAGTCTCTCCTGTTCCTAGCCCACGTGGCCAAAGGGAGCATCCCAAATCTGTGGGGTCCTCTTTCACCAAAGCTGCAGGGGTCCCCACTCTGGCAAAGCCACGTGGTTCTCTTTCCAATGGCTGCTGTGTCTGGGTTTAAATCCCCAAACCAACCTTCCTCTGTACCCCAATTTCCAACTCCTCCAACAGTCAGTTACACTTGCCAATATTCCTGTATTATTACAAGTTTACTGAGCTGCCATGGTGAGTCTGGGCAGGTGTGGCCCCATGTCATGGAGCTAATCTTGTCCAAGCTCTCACACAGGCCCTGTAACCAGGGGGGGTTGTCTCCCAGCTATTTTCTGCAGAGCTAATAGTTCCTGCTCCATGTGTCCCTTCCCCCAACTCACACCTGCGGGAGGAAGGGGCAAGGACATCCTACATATCTTTCTAATATTTTCTGGACACCTTGAGTTCTGGACCCCATTCCAAATCCCTATTTGGGGTCCCCCTCCAGGCTGTACCCTGTAACAAAACCACAGAGGTAAATCCTGTCAGAGGTACAAGATACTTTTCAGTTCTTTTTTCCTCTGATAAAGAACAAAGCTATTAACAAGAAAGAAAAAGAACAAGGAGAAAATGCATAGACTATATCTTTGGAAGCATCAGCTATATTCTTGGAGCTGTAAAAATATTAATGATAAGGTGGTAAATAAGAAATATAACCAATTCACTTTATGAGCTGAGGTTTTCCAGATGGTATTTTAAGGGAGTGTGCTAATCCAGTATGACCACACAACAAGCTGGCAACACACACTGGATGCTATAGTGTATATCTTACAAATCACAAGAAAATAGTTGGTCAATTAAATTTCTAAATAAGATTTGATGTACTAATAAGAGTGAGCTTTTGCAATGAATGGAATAATTTTAGAATAAAAGTTAAACACGAATTCAGAGAAAAAACTTGATGCTAATTTTAACGACAAAATATTACTAAATTTATAAAATGTGATATCCAATAGTTATTCCCACAATAGGTGCTATCAGAGTAAACAATAAAAGCTTCAAATAGATAAAAATTTAAGCAATATGCTTAAAATTAAATTTAAAATAAAGCATTAGTAACAAGTATGTGAAATAAAATAGCTGTAACATATTATTCTTGACTAGTGTTTTAGCAGTGACTATTTTCATTTGTCAGAAGAACAAAGGACATGGCCAGCATCCATTCTTGATAATCTATAGCCAAGCCAAACACTCATCTCTAAATTTTACTAAAATATATGCACTGATTATTCTCTATGATAAATTTGAAACTTGTTTTCCAAATAAGCATATAGCAAATAAGATTTCTTTTAAAGTTATTTCTTTATAGTGCCTATTAAAATAATGGACTTCAACCCTGGCTGGTGTAGCTCAGTGGACTGAGTGAAGGATGGCGACCCAAAGGATCGCAGTTCGATTCCCAGTCAGGGCACATGCCTGGGTTGCAGGCCAGTTCCCAGCAGGGAATGTACGAGAGGAAACCATACATTGATATTTCTCTCCCTCTCTCCTTCCCCTCCCCTCTAAAAGATAAGTAAATCTTTTAAAAAATAATAAAATAAAATAATGGACTTTAATCTTTTTATTTTTATGAAATAAAATCATGCTATGGTAAGAAATAATTTTTGAATTGGGACATGTTGTAGAAGATTTACTGAATTCCACAATACTTTTTAGCTCTCTATATAAAAAAGTATGAAAAGCTTTCATTTTAGGAAAATTTTATTTTGAAGATGTATGTATTTGTATAAAAATAGATGTCACAAAAAGGACAGTATAGAAATCTGATAATCGTATCTTTGAAATCTAACCTTTTGTTTTAGCTACAGTGACTAAAGGTTTTTATTTATTTATTTTTGATCTCACAAAGAATAACAGAAAACAAAGACTTAATAGTTCTTGATAAACTATTAAATGTTCTTACAGAGTTTAAACATCAAATCCAAACAGGAATGTATTAGAATCTCTCTTAAAGTCAGTTGTTTCTAGTCTATAGACACCTAAGCTGGAACTCTCTCTCCCCAAAGACATCTGATTGGAAGTGAGGTCAGTCAAAGCTTTATTGTTCTACTGTGCCAAGAAAACAGAGCCTCTGAAGCCAGCCTAGTGATCACATAGCAATTTAAAATGTGTACCTTTATTCTTTGGTCATCAACATCTACAATGGTAGCAACACGAATTAACCTGGGGTTTCGTTTATCCACAACTTCAAGTTTCATATTCGGCAGAAAACCATGAGGCAACCTCTGCAACATTACAAGCGCAACAAGTCAGGCAAATTTTAACAATTCCATTATGCTATAAATTTTTTTCTAAAATATTATCATTCTAGTTTTATGTTTGGAATTTTAGTACACGTGGAATTTAGTTTTAAGAGCACATAGGACCTTATGCCTATTAGTCTATACATTTTCATAAATGCCTGTGAGAAGAGAAAGAATTTTGTTTGGTTGCACAGCTAAGACAAAGACAGATTAAATTATAAGTTCATTAATGATCACGCCAAGGTTCTAAAAGGATCTTATGGTATATTTGTTTCAATTTTTTTCTGAAATTAACCTTATAAATTAAAAAATTATTGACTATTCTCATTGATTAATTTTGGAGTGTATGATCCAGAAGGCAAAATCATTTAATAAGTAATTAGAAAGGATAAACATAATAATTTATAAATCAAATTCTGAAATAATATTTAGATAAAACTTCATAATTCAACTTCATAAATTACTATAAAATTATGCTAAAACATAATTTAAAGGCATAACCTATACTTTTGTTACTTTATCTGTAACATAAGCATGTTAAACTGTATTAATTTAAGGTTTCTTCTAAGACTTAAAATGCCAGGAACCAGAAGTCTATAATCCGGCAATAATAAAGAAAATGGAGTCAGAAAAATTATACTAGGACTTACACTGAAACTAAGGAAATTTAACAAAATCAAAGTCAAAAGACATCTTGGACAATATTTATAGGTCGGCAAAAAGTTTCACTTGAATGCTACTACCCACAGAAGTGTTCAATTGACATTACTGAAAACAAAAGTGTATTAAATTCCTCAAAAGTGTATTGCCAATTCCTAGAAATGGCAATAGGACAATAAAATCCTCATAATACATGAGTACTAAACAGTTAAATCTTTCTCCAGTGCCTGGTTTGTTTCCCCACAGCTTTTGTGGAAGCATATTTTCTTTCTATTTTTTTTAACATTTTTTAATTGATTATGCCATTACATTTGTTCTATTCCCCCCCTTCATTCCCCTCCACCCTGTACACCCCCTCCCCCACCATCTCCCCCTTTAGTTTATGACAATGACAACGAGTCTCAAGTTCTTTAGATTCTATATTTCCCATACTGTTCTTGCCCTCCCCCCTATTTTCTACCTACCGTCTATGCTACTTATTTTCTGTACCTTCTCCCTCTTCCACTCCCCTGTTGCTAATCCTCCACATGATCTTCATGTTTTCTTTCTAAAGTGCATTATTAAATCTACTCAACAGAGTATACAAACTATAAACTAGGTCTCTGACCCCAGGAAATCTTTCCGTTCTCCAGAAGGTCTCTGTCCTGACAACAACGATATTAACTCATATTGCAGATGTCAAAGCTTGAAGCGAATCCACAATAGCCCCCGAGTCTGAAAGTTGCCATTTTAGCTAAATTTTTTCATTATTTTATTTTCTTGTTAAGTTTCTTTTTGGAAAAGTAAAATGACATTTTGACAGAAAGCAAGAGAGAAAGAGACTACAAGCAACTGGAATTTTGCTAACTGAATTTTTAGAATTCTTAAAACCCTTTTTAACACTTCAGAACTTCCAGCCTTCTTAATTTAATTTTATCTTCTCCCAGCCCCCCAAATGCAGCCTATTACAATCAAGTTTTTTAAAAAGTGAAATAGCAAAAAAAAAAAAAAAAAGAAATAGCATTTTGCTTTAAATCCTTTTCCATCACTAGAACACTTTCAGTTAGTGAAATCCTACGCAGACGCTCACCACATAAATTCTGAGGGAGGACAAGTTGCGGGCCTGTAGCACATCAGATCTGAAAGGGACCAAAGTCTGAAAACCACTGGGTGCAACACAAATGTTTCTAACTGTGCTATCAACACACTTATTTTACAAAGTAATTTATACTTGGGTCAATCCTCAAACAAATAAATTCAAACTTGAACTTAAAAAATTGGTATTCTAACAAATGCCAAAAGCCATGTTTCCCACTAAATGGATAAAACTGTAACACCCAGGCTACACACAATGCCCCTATCTTACTATGGCAACACTGGCATTCAAACAATCCCCAAGACTATGAAAGTTGTGGATTAGAGAACCAGAAATGAATGGTTTACTCATCAGAGGCTGATGAGGGGCTTTCAATGGGACTAGCGTGGCATGACTCTGTTTTTCAAGGAGGTAAATCATCACCTACATTTATGTCTAGAATCAATAAATTGTAAATGAGTCACCTCCTTCATATTCTTAAGTAAAAGCAAGGCAAATTGGTTATGAAAATAACACTTGAATTTAAAAAGAAAAAACTAGAATAATTTAAAACTGCCAGATAAAGGCAAGACTCAACATGGACATCGTTTCAAGTTGAGCACATATATGGATGCAAACTTACCATTTTAAATACTTTGGCAGGGACAGCACTAGTTTGAGTAGAATCTAGATATTCTGTCCAGGAAAAATGTTCTGGATCAGGATAACCTGAGAAAAAGATATAAATAACAAAAGATTATTCACTGATATTTTGATTCCCACGTACTATAAGATATTTGATAATAAAAACACCTACTATTAATTGAATGCTCCCTATTTAATAGCCCCTATGCTAAGAACTTCACATATATTACCTAACCTAAGTCTATGATAACCTCTGAGAGGGCTGCTTTGCCACACTAAAGCACAAGAGCACTCATTCCCTGGTTCATCCACCCCCTCAGCAAGGTTAAACAGGTCAGCCAAGATCAAAGGCTCATCTGAGTGCTTGGCAGAGCAAGCTCACACCCAAAATCACAGTCTGATGTTCAACCATGAACTGAAAATCTAAACCCTTCAATAAGTCTGTGTCGATTGGGTTTTATTCTCATATTTAATCTTTGTAATTACAACACCCCAGGTTTGCTATTATCACTGTAACTTAGAACATAGTACATATTTTGGTATAACATATTGTGAAGCCCTCTATGTTAAAAAAAATTTCCATCTAATTGGATTTCTAGTTTCTCGGTGTATTATTTTATTCCCAATTACATTTGCCAGAGGACTGTGTACATTGCTGTGCCTTTTCTTTTTCCCTTCAAGGGATAAGTAGTTAGATTTATTCATCAGCTCTATTGTTTTCTTTTGTCTTTTCTAATTATCTCATTTGCTACTTCTACTCTTACTCCTTCCTTCCTCATATTTGCCTTAGATTTGCTTTATACTTATCTTGACAAATTGAATGGTAAAGATAAATTTTTAATAAGCGTTTAAGGCTATGAACTTATCATCACTGTCCCTGAATGCAGTTTTAGACCTCTAGACAGACTTTTATATCATATTTTTTTACTTTCTAAAAATCAATTATAATATTTGTCATCCTGATTTATTCAATGACCAAGTATTTACTTACAAGATATCCCAGATGGTTAATTTTTGTGATTGTTTAAAATATTAAAAATCATGTCTAGTTTATCATGTGGTAGTTTCAAAATGTCACACTGGCTGTACAACCCCTGTTTGGGAGACGTGAGGATTTCTTGTTGGTGTAATAGCATAAGCAATTAAAAAATTTAAGTATATACATACATACATATATCTTACATCTATGTTTTAAGATATAATATAAATATGTATAATTCATATAAATAGCTATATTATTTAAAAACTTGTTTATTTTGTATTGAAGCAAAAGCCTGAAACAGTATGTTAAAATTTCTAAAATATTCTTTCTGAACAGCCCTCCAGTACTTCTGATAATTATTTCTTCATATTTAAACTTTTGCTAAAACACAACACAGTTTAAGAAAAATCTACAAGCCAAGCAGACCACTTGAAAATCTCAGACTCAGCACACCTGTGCCACCAGAACCCGGGACACACGCTCCCTGTGGAGCCAGCAGAGCCCCTTTCCTCGGACGGAAGCTGCAGTCCTGGCTTCTGGCCTCTCACGTGAGTTCTGCTTGTTCCATTTTTTCCTTTGTATAAATGGAATCTTGCAAACATGTGCTCATGGGTTTTCTCAGCGCTCTGGCCATGACGTTTACATAGACCGCTGAGGACAGAACACATGTCTTTCAAAATTTATTTATCCATTCTACTGGTGATGGTGATTTGAGTAGTTTCAGTTTGAGGGCTATTATGGAAAGTGTTGCCATGAACATTCCAGTACACTCTCCTTGGTGACCAGACCATACATTTTTGTTGCAGTGCACCCAGGAAGAAAACTGAGGGATCATGGGGTATTTTGCTTCATATGTGATGTTACATTTTTAGCATGTAAGAGCATATGGAATGTTCACTATTAATTGCTCTTCATATTTAATATAGAGAAAAGTTCTCTTTGGAAACATTTATTGCATTTTGCCTCAAATTCTTTTTATTAAAAATTAAATTGTATGCCACCCTGTTACTTTCTGCTTCTGGTAACATAAAACACAAAACAAATAAGACATATTTTGTTCTGATTCTATTTATTTTAACACAATCTAAATGGATTTTAAAAATCATTTACATTTACTTCCCTAACTGATTTATTTTACCTAGCTTCTATAAATATTTTTAAGCTGGATTTTTTAGAAAGCTCCTGTAGAGTTTCTTTTGCTTTTTGTCCTTTTTTATACAAGTCATGTTATATATCTTATGTCTCAATATTTATTTCTGCACTTGCATTTACTTTTATAGTTCATATTTTTTTAATGCCCAATCTCATTCATTGGACTGTATATCTTCACATTTCTGCATAGGTTCTAAATATGCTCATACCTTGCCCCTTCAGTATTGGGGTCCCCTCCTCCCTGTCCCAAGTTTCTCACTCAGGGGTTTGACCAGCAGAGTCAGTGGAATGGGAGGAAAAGAAACAGCACAGTGCATTAATGAATGAATGTGATGTGAGCAAAAGAAAAAACAAAGTCAGTCTTGCTCTGGCCCCTTAAAGACACCTGGCATGCTGCTGACAGGAATTTTCCTTTTCCCTATCTTCATAATCAGTAAATGAAAATACAAGTCTGTGGATGTTTTATTTATTTGTATATTTATTTAAGATTTTATTTATTTACTTTTAAAGAGAGCAGAAGAAAGAGAGAAGAGAGGAAGAGAAGCATCGACGTGAAAGAGAAACATCAATCAGTTGCCTCTTGTACACACCCTGACCTGGGACCAAACCCACAACCCAGGCATGTGCCCCAACTGGGAGTCCAACTGGCAACCATTTGCTTTGTGCAACGATGCCCAACCAAATGATCCGGGCAGGCTACGGCTGTTTTATAGGTCTTAAGCAATAATTGCCTCTACATAATTTCCAGAAATCAGCTTTATATGAGTAAAAAAGAGAAAACATGTATTATATATATATTCCTTGTTCAATGAACCCAAAGAAGACGAGTATGTCTTACAGCCGTGGGAGGCTTACAAAGCCACCTACTCCCACTGTCTTTCTCCTAGCCCTGGCTCTGAGCTCTGCTAGGCTCAGGGGGTCTGAAGTAGTGTAACAAGGGAAGGGAGGGAACAAGACCCATTCACAGAGCTGTGTGGCAATATCACAACAGAAATGTGAATTCGAAGAATTTAAATTCCTATTTAAAACAAAAAGAAAAGCCCTGGCCAGTGTGGCTCAGTGGTTGGAGCGTTGTCCAGCAACCAAAGAGTTGTGGGTTCAATTCCCAGTGGAGGCACATGCCTGGGTTTTAGGTTTATCCCTGGTCTGTGGGCAGGTATGTGCGAACTCCAGTCCTGGTGCAGGTGCCTATGAGGGACACCAATTGGTGCTGGATGTTTTTCTCTCTCCCTTCCTCTCTCTTTCTGAAAAATCAAATGAAAATGTCCTCAGGTGAGGATTAAAAAAAAAGGAAATATATGAGACTAACCCATGATACAACACAGCCTTTAACCTCTTCACTTGTCTCAAAGAAAAACAACCTAATTGACTTCCATTTATTTGGAAGCAATATGCCAAGTACTCCACTTACACTGTCACTTATTCTTTACGTCTGCCTGTGAGATATACACCTTTTTATCCCCATTTTATAAGTGATGTTCAGAGAGCTTGAGCAGTTTGCTAAGTGTTACAGAGTTAAGAAACAAAAAACAACATGGGATTTGAATAATTATACCTGAGTCCATTATCTACATTCTTAGTAAGTGCCTCCCCTAGTACTATAACCTACAGCATCATGATTCAAAGTGATCTATACTTCTGGGCCACAGGACTGAGTTTGAGCGCCCTCTTGAAAGCTAATGTGCAGTACTGCGTGCGAGGTGAGCGGGTGGGAGCAAAGATCCTGGAAAGGAGACCATACTATACAGAGTGGGGCAAAAGTAGGTTACATTTATGAGTACACAAAACACAGCTTGTTCTTGTATTATATATTAATTACTGTATTATTTTCCATACGAACTGTAAATCTACTTTTGCCCCACTCTGTAGGCATAAACCTATTTATTCATGTCCTACCCCATTCCACACTACTTATAGTTTAAAACTGCAGAGATGAACATTATTGGAAGAAAAATGAAGTCCAAGCTGTGGCTGTGGCTGTGGGCATAGGTGGCTGAACCAAACAAAGAAACGGATCCATGAACTACAAAGCAGGGCATTGGCCAGGCAGCCCCACATTTCCCCATGGTGCCAGCAGTTCTCTGGGATAAGAGGAAGATCTGGGTGACGGCATCTCCAATTCATGTTAGAGAATAACTAGAAGGGAACTAGGTGGCAGCAAGAAGAGGAATGAGGTGCGGTGGAGCAGAAGAGCTGGCACCCTCAGGGAGGTAGAACCCTTCTGACCAGCTGAGAACTGTTTTAAGAAAAGCAGCGGGACTACTTGGGGTGTGGCAAATGGTGCTACGTCCTCTGTGGGCTGACGGAAGTAGCAGCCTCAAGGGGAGCAACAGAGGAAGCCCTGTGTGAAAATGCTGGGGTAGATGAAGGTCAGTGCCAGAGCTCTGAGTGGAAGGGACTGATTGTCCAGAAAAAGTCCTTAAACAGGATATAAATATGGGGCGGGTAAAAAAGAGAGAGACTCAAGGTCAAACCAAGTTAAATATAAGAGGAAAAAACCTAAATCATGTCATTCCAATGGATTCCTATATCACTCAGGGAAAAAGCAAGTCCTTACGACGACCGCAGGCCCCTACTTCACACGGCCCATCACTGCCCTGATTTCATCTCCCTTGCACTCCACTCCTCCTCTAACTAGAACAGAGCAGACTCGTTCACTCCTCGAGTTCTCACACGTGCCATTCCTTTACCATGAGAGATCTGTCTGTGGCTCCCCCAGACTCCCCACTTCACCTCCTTCAAGTTGTGCAAATGTCACATTCTCGGTAAGTCCTCCCTTAAACTCCTTGGACAATGTAGGACCTTCTGTCTCCCCAACCCCTTCCCAAATAGATGTGTGTGCACTTCATAAATTCATTACCTGCTTTAATTTTCTTCATAGCACTTACCAACTAACGTATTATATATTTTACGTATTTATTGTTTCTCTTGCTCTACTAGAATATAAGCT